GAGATACCCCAAAGAGCTAAAGATAGAAATACCATTCGATCCAGCAATAGCACTATTAGGCATCTACCCAAAAGAGCAAAAGATATTCTATAATAAAGACATCTGCACCTGAATGTTTCTGGCAGCACAATTCACTATTGCAAGGATGTGGAAACAACTCATATCCATCTTTTAAAATCCAGATACTAAGGTAGGGTATAAAGGAGAATAAGCAAATGACCCATATTCTTAATATCCAGATATAACCTCCTTTTACATTTTAGTACATGGCCATGGCCTTTCATTCTGTATTTATTTGCTTATTTATTTATTTAAATTCACTTGTATGGTTTCTCCTCCCCTCATATTTTCTTCTTGTTTAATACAAAAACTGACTCATACTCTGCATAATGATTTGTCATTTGATTTTTTATTTTATAATATATTTTACTTATCTTTCTATGTTCACAGAGCAAAAACCTAGTTATAACTCTTAATGTGGCTTTGTAGTCCACAACGTGTATGTACCATTACTGCACTGATTACCCATGGATCAATATTTTGGTCCCTAGTACTTTTTTCAATAACAAAAGTACAACCACATTTTATATTTCCGAGCATGTACTTTGTGTACTTTTCTGTTGGATACTTTAATTGAAGTGGACTACTTTGCTAAATAATGCACATCTAAAAAGTACATAGTGTAAAATTGCTAGGCAGAAAGTTCTACCATTTTATACTCTATTTCAGATCAGGAGAGTACCTGTTGTCCCACACGTATACTAACTTTGGATCCTAGCAGTCTTCTTCACCTCTGACAACCTGACATCCAAAATGATTCTACTCACTATTGTTTGAAAGACCTCTACCACTAACCCTTACTGACAATAGGTCGAGTGGTAAACATTTTTCATGTTTATCTATCATTATTTCTCTAAGAAATTTCTTCTTATTGTGCTTTGCCTTTGTCTATTTTGCCTTGGGCATATTAATCCTTTACATATTGATTTCTATGAATTGTTTATATGTTTATGAAAGTGTTTTTTTTTGTCTTTTACATACATATAAACTACTTATTTCAGCTCTTAGGTTTTTTATGGTGTTGTTTCCACCCAAAATTTTACATTTTTATGTGGTTAAGTTTATTTCTTTTTTCCTTTTAATAACTGTGCTTTGGGGGTTTTTAATAAAA